GACGCTGATCTCTCTGCAAGTGGCCGGAGCCAGCCGTGAGATGATGGCTGGCTCCGCCCAGCTGTTAGAAGTAGGCTGTCGACTGATCCTCTCGGCCAACTTCGCAAGCTCTACAGGCTATAGTGAATAGCCTGTACAGCAGCCCTTCAGTTCTACTGATCCGAAGGGGTCCTGGGTCCGAAGCTAGCCGAAGGATCAGCCAAAGCTACGGCTAGATCCTTTAGCAGCTTAGTGAATAGACCCCATGGTCAAATCATTACAGCTTTAGGTGAAAATGGTATTTGCTGACCGCTTTTTGAAAGAACATTTACTCCATTATTAATGATGAAATTATGACTATGTGCTTCATTGAGTTAAATTAAGTAGACATTTTTTTGGGGGGAGCAAAACTAGGCAGAGTTCGATCCCCTGAGTTATTATTGCTGTTTGTGACATCTCTATGCAATATATTTCCATTTTCACTCTTGTTATGGCAACTGGGACTTGGCTGTGAGCCAAACATTCTGGAGTGCATGCTTCAAATGCGCATATCCATTTGCACTATCCCCATGCAAGTTTAGTATTAAAGGACAAGTTCACCTAATTCAAAAATGTAGGTGAAATTAGTCCCTCTCCCTAGCCGCCTCAGTATACTAAACTGTGCCACCCTCCTGCAGGTCCTTACTTACCTCCAATGATGACTGTGTCCTTATGTTCTGTCTATTTTAAGCCAAGATATTGTTTATATCACTTTCCATTGCCGAATAAAACAAGTATTTCTTGAAGCAGAAAAACAGGTGTCCCTATCTTGTTCTCTTTTATGTTATTTCTTGTCTTTGGACATGAGCTAAGAAGACTTTGAAATCATTTTCTTGTAAGGAGTTACAGACATCTGTGCTCCTGAACTGAACCCATCATAAGGGAAAGGTAATCGGTGAACATTTGCTATTTCAGATGAAGACACCTACCCATTCCTCCCTTTTCAGTTTCATAAGATGGCATAGGCTCAATTCACTAATCTTTCACACAAGGATAAGTATCTTTATCTTTAGCTCTAAGACTGTAATTTGATATTGTAACCTGGGGAATAGAGGACTTCCACCAGCAGGTTTCGGGTCATGCCCCATTAATATCAGTCCCTTGTGCCATCTGACCTCTGTGGAGTATTTGCGCTGCCTCCCTAGGATTTAGATGGTGTCCATTCTGGATATTAACAGCTATTTCTCCTTTCCTGTCCTGATACCGGCTGTTAAATAAGAGCTGATGTAGTAACAGGTGTTGTTATCTGGTTTTCTGCAGGGCTTTGTTTCTCCTGGTTTTATGCCCTGCTCTAAGCCATTGTTTGTAAGACCATCTTTTATCCATTTACTTTTAAAAATGCGTTTTATCTGCACTATCTAGTGCACTTTGTTCTGCTTTTGTTTTACACATATAGTTATCTGGCCTTTGGGTATTTACAAAACTTGCAAAATTGTTCATTTTATTCCAGGTTGCTAGTAAATGTGGTCGATTTGCACATGTACAAAACCACTGATGTACTCAAAATATGTGCTTATAAAAAAATGACAAATAAAAAGCAGATTACATGAATGTTTTTTTATCTTGGTAGCCTGTATTTATTATAACATTAGGAGAACTACATGCACGTTACATTTTTAATGTACATTATTAACTTTGATATTTACAGTATATGTTTCAAATTTGTTTTTACAACAATAACAGACATACCAAAAATACCATTTCTATTTATAGACATTTTAAATCCAGTAGGACATTGGTGTTTCTGGTGACTTATAGTTTTATTTTTAATATTTAATCTTTTTCTCTTTTTAATCTTTTTGTAGGTATATCTTTTCTAATAATTCTGTGATATGTATTTCACTTACCATTAAAAAGAAAAGGCATTGACAAAACTCTTGACCTTCTTGCCAAGTGTTTAAACAATAAAATATAAGATAACAATACCCCAATATATCTTAAACCTTGTCTCAAAATATCACCCTAACCGTCCCGTTCGTTCCTCCCAAGACCTCCTGCTTTCCAGCTCCCTTGTCAACTCCTCCCATACTCGCCTCCAGGACTTCTCTAGAGCCTCTCCCATCCTCTGGAACTCTTTACCCCAACCTGTCCCACTATCTCCCACAATGACCGCCTTTAGGCGATCCCTAAAGACTGATCTCTTCAGGGAAGCCTATCCCACCTCAACCTAACCACTGAACCATCACATTCTTAAACAATTCATCCCCACACAGCTACCTCCTCATGTATCACTTGCCCCTCCCTTTTAAATTGTAAGCCCTCACGGACAGGGCCCTCCTTACCATCTTGTCTTAAATTGTATTGTGATTATAATGTCCTCCTTATATTGTAAAGCACTGCACAAACTGTTGGTGCTATATAAATCCTGTATAATAATAATATTAACAAAAAATGCATTGTCACAGTATGTTAAAATATTGTTGTGTGGATTTTGTTCAATTTGATTCTTGGTTTTGAAGTGGCATCTTTTACATGAAGGAGCATTCTAATATGTGATAATGTTCCCCAATTTCTACAACAACTTTACATGACAGACCAGAATAAGTGCACACCTACTGGAATACAGAGTAAAGCAGAGAGAAGAACAGCTGTCATGTACAAAGTTATTATTACACAGGATTTATAAAGTGCTAACAGTTTGCACTGCACTTAACAAAATAGAGGGAGACATTACAGTTACAATACAGTTTCAATACAGGAGGGTTAGACGGGCCCTGCTCGTGAGAGCTTACAATCTAGAAGTAAACCACAGCAAGAACAAAAAAAAAAGAGATTGTGGTTTACTGAACCCATATCAATGAAAAATAGATTTTGATTACATGTCTTTGTACGCTATACTCTTTACATATCTGTTTACCTGATTTTCTGTGGATGTAAAGAATTTGTGACTATATAATCTGATGGTATACTATATGTAACACAGTTGTAAGGATATCAGTATATTCGCTGAAAATACACATAAACAGATGTGACACATGGAATATTAGTTGCTAATGCAATAAACAATAATGTTTAAAACAACAAAAAATACCTTAAAGAGTAATTCCACATTTGTTAAGCAAAACAGTCTAAAATATTTAGAATGATTTCCACTCTCATGGGTACACCTGTTCCCCCTACTCCTCAAACAGCATTACTCAATGTCAAGCCCATGAACATCTCACACCCTAAATTCAAGCTGATACTCCATGTCCTCTCTGCTGCTAAACACACCATAGCCAGTTCTTGGATTACTAATAAGGTCTCTTTCCAAGCCTCCAAAAATAGAATTCATTGGATTTTCTCCCACGAAAAACTCTCTGCACGTCTCACTGACCAAATGCCGAAGTTTGAAAAACAATGGGAACCTTGGCTGAAACATTTCCTACCAACAACCTTTGGCGCGCGCCTATTGACCCTCTAAGTACTTCTACCCTCTGCCTCCCTGCCGACTTGAACACGAGCTAGATTGAGCATCACACCACCCTCCGTCTCCCTCCCTCTTTCTACCTCACCCCCCTCATTGTTTTGTTTTTGTGCTTTCCCTTTTTTTTGTTGTGTTGTCTGCTCCTGACCTCCCTGGTGGGACCCCCTGTCAGAGTTGATCCCCACCCCCTTTAATTAGAGATTAGGCGATTGCTTACTGTATGCCATATTTGATAAACATGTACCAGCTGTATAGCAATGCCAATGTCTATAGTATTATATATGCACGCTCACAATGTCTGTGCCCGTGCATTACTTACTCTGTATTTTATTGAAAATAAAAACTTTTTGAAACTAAAAAAAGAAAAAAAGCAATCCTCTCTGGGTAATCAATGTATATTACAAGGATATTAATAACCTTTTGTGCAGTTTCCTACTTGTTTCTATTTTGAAGGAAAAGCTGTGTGTTGCAGCATGTCTTTTCCAAACTGATTCCTGAACGAGAGTGTCCAGGTTCATTATAATCAGTTGGTGGACTTTCTGTGTTTTAATAAGGAAGGGTGCAGTGTCTGCATCCCTTTAATAGTAATTAACCTTTCGGGAGTATCTCACTAAAAATGAAATTCCTATTGCAAGGGATGTCAAAAATGATACTGGCATCTTAGAGCAGACTTCTGGGAAGTCAATCACAGAAGCAGGAAGTGACATTTTGCCATATTGCATAGATTATTTTTGACAGATTTAGAACATTACAGCAGCTACAGTTTTAAATGGAAAGCTTATTTTTAATAACATTAAATTACAAAATGGCGTGTGTAACAATTCTATATACTAAATTATTTTTTTAAAGATTTTTTTCATTTTTATATTTTGATAGTGGTGTTACCCTTTAAAATGTTTATGATACAATCATTAAAAGTTTGCATTTAAACTAACTAGAAGATAGACTACCCTTCACGTTCACTGAACTCCTACAGATGCCAGTATCATTCTTAAATGGCCTTGATGTCGAGTATGCAAAAAAAATCAGGTTAATTGTGCAGATTTACTAAAGTAGTTGAGAATCTTCACACATGTAAGTGGCTTTTCACTTCAATTATCCAATCATGCAGATGAAATAACTGAACAGGAGTTTGCTTTTCACATTCCTGGATAATTAGACTGAATTTATTGTGGGAAGATTATTAAATCATTTAATAAATTGCCCTGATTGTGTTGTCTGGTTCAAGTGTATCTATCTGTCTGAGCCAATTGAAGCCCAGCTCATCAGAAAGGCTATAGACCTCTCCAGATCATTGCAAAATTGCTGCTGAATCTATCCTCAATGGAACACATAACATTTACTTTAACAATTCAATTTGGTGTTCTTTCTACAGTAGTAGTTTGTGGCAAGTCTTAGAAGTTTGTTGATTTTAGCTGTTGCCTGGAGTGGATCCTTAAAATGTGACTAATGTTGTGGGTTGTTTTTTTTTTTTTAACTGTAAGTAGAAAAGAGTAAATATAAAAATTTTAAATATACATATAAGATATGTATTTAGCACTAACTCAACACCAATTGCTTAATATAACTGATAATTTTAGTTCCTGAGGTCATCACTTATAGCTTGATCTGGATCAAATGAGAAGGCAGCATCTCTCAATTGAATTTCTTTCTGTTTTTCTTTGAATTGCCTCTCAGCAAATGTCACTGCATCGTGTACACTGTGAAAGGCAAGCAGCTCTAGTTCACCACTGGTGTTCCTGAAATACCCTCCATCATGAAGGGATCGGCGAACTGATGGATTGCAGTTAACAAGGAACACCCGTACACCTATCGCCTCATAGTCATTGCTGACTTCTTGAAGAACACTAAGCCCCACAGTGTCAAGAAACTGCATGGCACCACAATCAATAATAAGAGAGTGAATATCAAGGTGTGGTACAGGAGTTTTTGTAGTTGTCTTCCTCTCAGTTTTAATCAAGTTAAATCTAGCAATGAATCTATTGCCAGTTTCTCTTGAAGCTGCCTCTTCTTCTTTCTTTGCCTTCCTTTGTAATGCAGACACTGTAGAGGGGTTTATACCAGTTTTGTCGTAAAGTGAATTTCTAAAGTAGTCTTTGTTGGCATAGTAGATAGAGGCATCAAAGCGGAATATTTTCACATAAGGTATGATGTTCAACTCTTTGTATGTGAACTGGTCTTCATAAATCTCTGTCCCGCTAACTTTACCTAATAGAGTAGCCCTTGGCCTCTGGGTACGGAAGATCACACAAAGCATGGAGAAGCAAACGGCCACCAACAATCCAATCTCAGTTGAAATTAGGGAAGAAGCCAACATGCTAACCCACCAGACCACTGTATCGATTTTACTAATATGCCACATTTTTGGAGTGTCAGAAAATTTTCTTAGTGCTCCCCTAAGACTGGTTATAGTTATGACACCTAAAATGCAACTTTGCAGAGAATAGAACAGAGGGGCAATAGCGAGCAGTACAAGCAACAATACAGCTGAGCTGATTATGCCATTTAGCTGAGTGTTGGCACCTGTAGATTCTCTTAGAAGGCTTTTGGCAAGAGCGGCACAGCTTGCAAAACAGGAGAAGAAAGATGGGATGAGATTACACATGCCTATAGCAATCATCTCCTGATTGGTGCTGATTGTGTAACCATGCTTTTTGGCAAATATTTCAGCAAGTGATACTGTCATGGCAAATCCAATGATTGCAATTGGCACTGCATCAGCAGCTATACTGGGGATCAAGCTCCAGTCTGGTGCTTTTGGAACCTGGAATCCAGTGGGAATGGTTCCACAGACTGAGGATTTATATTTTGTATTAAAACTAAAGAAATGGGAAACCAATGTGGCCACAATAATCACTAATAGTTCTATTGGAAAGGGAATTTTCATCTTACTCTTGAAACGATCATTGATTTCTTTGACAGGGACAATGGCCAATATTGCAATGATGCTGGTAACTAAATCACATATATTTGTACTTTTTAAACTGGAGAAGATGTCAACCCAAGTAAAAATCAAAGCCCCAACACCATCGCGACGAGGGATCTTTAACCCAAGGAGATACTTCATCTGCGAAGTCAGGATGGTCAAGGATGAGCCAGTGACAAAACCACTCAGGAGAGGCTCTGACAAATACATTGAGATGAACCCTAGCTGAAAGATTCCTAGGAGGATCTGGAAAAAAAAAATTAAAGCACATCAGTTTTACTGTCATGTTTTTTTTCAATTTGTAGCAAATAAAATGCTGGAAGGAAGAAAAGGGAAGTTATTTTTTCAACAATTTATTTTTTATCATTATTATTCACTTGTGAGCCGACAGGAGAAACTACTGTGTGAGGAAGGGGAGCAGGTATTCCACACACTCAGCAGTGTGGAATACTTGCAGCAGTCAGGGAGCAGCGAACGTGTGGCATTTCAACAAACGGGGCACTGGAATGGTAAATTTAAAGCTTCTTCTATTACAGCTATGCTTTTACATACAAAGTGACCCTGTGTTGACAGGGTCGCTTCAAAGTGGACCTGTAACTAGATATTCTATCTCATAGGGAACATATCGAAATTTTAACTGTGCCTAAACAGTACCCTACAAATAAATCTACATTTTGTCTTGTTTCAGAAAATTTGTAGTGAGATTTGGTGATAAGACTACCATGCGCCTCACTTTTCTTGCTAGGAGTTGCAGTGTAAGGATCTCCTTGCTTTAGTTTCATTTATTTAATAGACGTGTGTTGTATTAAGAACGGGAAGTAAGCGGAATTTCCCCTAAGGCAACATGGACAGTAATTTAATGAAGCGGAAGAAGTTTAGAACTACAATCAAGTGAGAGATCTATATAGGACGTGGAATTAAAATCCATCTCGATTAACATCCTATAGACCTGAGTAGAAAAGAAAGGTGCACAGCAGCAGAGGAACTGCAAATCAAGATAAGAATAGATACCAGCATACCAACAGATAAGTTTCAAGTATTTGAGACTTTACTAGTATGACATAACACCAATTTTTTAGGGTGGCAAAGGACCACCTGTAATTATGGTGCTACTAGTAAAATGGAAAATTACCTATTGGTGTGATAGCATTTATTATTATTTAAATAGGAGGCACTGGATCCAAATGCAAATAGATCTCACAGTCAAGATATAAATTGTATTACGGAGTACAAGGGCTCTGGATGGCAATTCATGGACATGAAGAGTCTTGTAGCTAACAGTTTGTGAGAAATCCAAAAGGTACATAAAAAAACAGTAGCTAGACCATATGTTAAGAGATCATGAAGAGTTTATTACATCAAAGGGCAAGCCAATCCAACTTGTGGGTTCTCACAGACCCCCGTCATCACAGCTTAGAATTGCAGGCAAGAATGTGGATGGTCTTGGGCTTGAAGGGGTTATTGATTTTTCCAAGCACAAAATCTATGTAGTCCACAGAAAAAAAGGTATCTATAATGTCTCTACAATTACTGCACTCTTTGTAATATATGTAGTATAATTGGGGCCTTTCTTTAAATGTGTTAAAATTGTTAGAGTATTCTGTTTATTTTTACTTTTGATTTGGCATGCAGTCTTACCTGATATACACCAACAATGAAGGTCAACGATGTTGCCACAGTAATGGCATAGCAGCTTTTACCACACAGAGTTCCATTAACAAGTGTTGAGTTTACTACTGCTGCTGTAGTACCATCTGTAATGTAACCTGCTGCCTTTAATTGTTTGTTTACTGTCTCTCCAACCATAAGGCACAGAACGCCGTATGTACCAACACAATTGTGACGTGATGTTGCTGTTAAGAAATAGATAATGCAGCAGAAGAAGTTGGTGTACAGTCCATAGATGGGGTCTTGATTAGCTAACAAAGAGTAAGCAATTGACTGTGGAATGGTGACAATGCCAACTATAATGCCAGATGTGATATCGCCAGGCAGGTACTTTTTGATCTTGTAACGTGGAAGCCATGAGAGTACAGGGAAGAGGGTTAAAAAGAAGCTGGAAACCACCTTTGGGCCATTTCTGCAGACCTCTCTGGCTTTCTCTGTGATGAGTTCCTTGGTACTGAGTTTTGACTGGGCATGTTCCTCAAGCTTTACATGCATGTATTCATATGATGTGGAATCGTGATGTTCATTTGGCTCTGGAAAATCATTCTTAGAGTTATCAGGGTCCTCCCCCTGAAAAACAAAATACACAGCGTTTACATATCTTTTTGTAGAACATATAACTAGTGTATTAAAATGTAGAACTTGTACATACAAGAGTTGCCTCATATGCTTGACTAACATTGCATCGCGTTGCCTTTCAGTGTAACTCAGGATAAGTCATCCAGAGTTACACTGAAAAGTCACATGTAAAGTGAGAAGTCATTATGCTCTATTGTATTGTACAAGCTGTTCAAGTCATTAAAGGAGAAACATCTCAATATTGCCTAAAAACTAAGCGGTCTATTCACGAAGCTGCCGAAGTGATCCTTCGGCTAGCTTCGGCCCCAGGACACCTTCGGTTCAGTAGAACCGAAGGGGTGCTGTACGGGCTATTCACTATAGCCCGTACAGCTCCCGAACCTGGCCGAGCGGCTCAGTCGAGCGGCTCAGCCGACAGCCTGCCGAACCTAAATCAGCCGTACCAGCCTGAAGTGAATAGCCGAACTGTGTTCGTCTCACTTCACTTCAGGTCAGTCATTCACTCGGCCGCCTACGGCAGCTTAGTGAATAGACCCCTTAGTTATTATGGCCACTGTGAGAAGAATGGGGAGGAAAAGAGAAATAAGGTATGCAAAGAATACAAAGCAAGATATTATTTAGAAGTATGGGTTTGTAGATTGTCATTACTAAACATTTCTAAAGGTGTGTTTGTTGTTTTTTTAAAGATAAGGGTAAAGTTCCTCTTTAACTCAAAAATAAATGCACTTTAGCATTATCAGCACTTGCCTCATTTTCGAGTCCTCACACATTTATATATGATTTTTATTGGGATGAGCTACATCAAAGGTCGATAAAATATGCAGATTGCATGAGGAGTAGGACAAGCTTTGTCACTATTACAAATTCCTGGAGAAGTCAGGGATTGTGCTTTAACAGCAGGGTCTTAAGGTGCCCATACACTTTACAACCCTCGCAAGACTTTTGTCTTGCGAGGGTTGTAAAGTACTTAAAAAAACGTACGGTCTGCCCATCTTGGACAGGCAGATCGTACTGCGATCATCGCAAGCCCGCCCCCCTGGGGGGCGGGCTTACGATGACTGCAATGAGGGGCGGGCTTAAGATGACTGCAAACGGGCTGTGTGCGCACACCGGCCCGTTCAGCAGTTGTACAGTAGTAGCGACCGTACAGTAGAAACGGTCCGCACACCTTCCATACAATGCACGATTCTCGTACCATTCTCGTACAAGAATCGTGCATTGTATGGGCACCTTTAGAGGCTACTGTAGATATGTACAAGCACCTCTAGGTGTATGCAATTTATACCTGCAGCATACTTTTTTTGTGGTCTCTTTAAGCATCATGTACTCAGTTTTTAAAATATTAATACATTATACTCAGTTGTATTATTTTGATGCATGCATATCAGTGCACACTTAATAGAAATCCTAATAGATAGGTTTAGCTAGTAAAATACACACTTGCTTTATTGCGGTCCACTGTTGCCACAACAACTAACTATTTATTGCTTTGTCCTCAAATATGACTTTTTTAAGACAGCTTACAATATATCTTGCATGACGTTTCTTACGCAACATTTTTCAACAAGCTAAAACTATGTGTAAGTGTTCTGGGCGGAAAGCATAAATGTTCTAGTAAAATTCCACTTTACGTTTATAGAATGCTATATTTTCCAAACACCATATCTTATTTGCAGTCAAAGGCTAATTAAAAGGTACAGGACCTAATGCACTACTTATATAAGGAAACTTTTTGACACTCAGTTTAGGGTGATAGAATTCTGCATTTTAGTACTTTATATTCCTTATTAGACTTCCCCTGGGTGGGTGGAAGCTGAAAAGTTTTAAACCCATTCGATCTTTATTTAATTTTCACCAAAGAACTATTCATGCCTGACTGTTCATTGCCAGTAATCCAGATTCCTTTCTGCCAGACCATTTTGATAGAAGCCTATCACTGTTTTCAAATTCAAAACCTTTCTCAATCTGATTCTAAACCTGGGAATCACCAAAAAAAGGACAGAAATCGTAAATACTGTTACAAACACCCCATCCACCACATGCCAATGTACTCTTCTGTCATGTCTAAGGCACCATATCAAATAATAATGAGATTTATGCACTTCAGTGACAGTTCTCTGTGGCCTCCCAGAAGACTCAACATATTGTAGACCCCACAAAGTTATTTATATACACCAGACAACTATCTGTATTGCTGAGTCCCTTATCTACTTTAAAGGTAGACATAATATTCTGCGGCATTCATAACAGCCCTAATTTACTGGGAATGCCTTGCACCTGGAAGGCTTCATTCAGTTGCAGTTGGTAGGCTGATTATGAGACACTTTTCTGATCTTTTGATTTCTTCCTGAGCTTGCAGGGAACCCCCCAAAAATGTTGTGTGTGCAGCAAAGATGGAATAAAGCGTGAAGCACATTACTATTGTCGCTACTGTTCTTCACAACCTGGTCCCTGCATACAGGACTGCTTTCGTCTCACTCACTCACTATAGTATAAGTTGCTGCCTGGATCCATCCTTTTCCTGTTAAATGATCATGTTTTCCTGGCACCTGCCTGCTGCCTGTATTAATTAATCTGCATTTCCCACTGATTATGTTCCTACCGATAAACAAGTCCCAGTCTCTGTGGACAATTGTACTCGCAGTATCACAGGTACTCTTTGTTCATCCTATGCTCAGCCTCCTGTATTTCCTGGCCAGTGAACATAGCATTGCATATATCATTCCCTGACCACTTGTACAGAGGCAGGCAATACAGTAACAGTTTTTTTTATGCAATGTTGTTTGATTTTTGTGATACACAAAATAAAATGTCAAGTACCTAATCAGTCCAAACATTTAAAAACTCTCACATGTGTGCTATCCCTATACCCAGGAAGAGTAGCAGAATGTGTTTTGGGGTATATCAAGTATGTTCATGCTATGTGTGAAAAATATCTTATTAAAATTTCAACTTTGTGTAAGAAATATATTTTAATTTTCTTTCCTGATTTTATAAAAAAAAAAAATGGTGGCAAAAAATGAAAGGTTATCGTCAAAAACTAAAAATAAATATTTATTTCTATATTGAATTTCCATAAGTTCTCTCCCACTCCAATTAACCATGTCAATCTAGAAGTGATTTATTGAAGATACCCATAGGATGCAATTCCTCAATGCAGCGAGTCAATTTCACTCAGCCTCGTGACTATGCACTTCCTTGTGTCACCACGCTGTCTGAACTACAACTCAATGTCTGAACTTCCCACAATGTAACATCATCATTGATTGCTGGGAGCAATGCATGATGGGATATGTAGTCTTGAGAAACCATGACTGCATCACATTAAGCAGCATGGAAAGAAACACAAAACACAGTAGGAATCCAGGAAGTTGTTGAAAGTGATGGGCAGATGGAAGGCAGCACTCAGTCAAACTATCACAGCACTGAAAATAGAAAAATGGCCTGATAATGAAGGGGTTGAAACATGCTGGTATTGAGGTGGTTAATGAACAGGCTGACGCTGTGTTAACTTCAGTCACATGCAAAATATAATACCTTTCCCTTCCACATGAGTGGATATTCAACATAACATAGGGGTCTATTCACTAAGCTGCAGTAGGCAGCCGAGTGACTCAACGACTCCAATCAAAGTGAGCCGAATGCTCGGCTATTCACTTCAGGCTGGTACGGCTGATTCCAGCCTTATAGCGGCTGAAATCAGCCGTACATCGGGTGGCTTCGTGTGGCTTCAGGTCAGCCGAACATGCTCAGCATGTTCGGCCGACCCGAAGTGCAGAATGAGTTCGACTCAGCCGATCCAACATCTGGATCGGCTAAGCCAATCCTCTGGCAGCCTACTCGCTGCTGTTTGTTCTATTCTTATAGATGCCGAATAGCAGTGAGTGAATAGCCGAATGCCGCTGACCGAGCAGCGTTAGTTTGCTATTGGCCATTGCAAATTGAAATAGCCAATAGGAATCTAGCTATATTTTCCTATGGGGTTTTTTTTTTCTTCTGACGGCAAAAAAGAAAAAAACGAGCAGGGAAAGGTTTACTCTGCTCGATCGAGCAGAGTGAACCTTTTTGTGAGGTTTGTCTCCCGGGCAGCCGGGAGCCTATTAGAGCGTCCAGGGGAGGAATGACAGATGCGTTCCTGGTTACCAGGTAACCGTGCTGTCAGAAGCAGGCTGTCGGCCGGCTAATGGGCCAGCTTCGGCTTTCAGCGCGGCTCAGTCGAGCCGAGACATATGCCTTCGGCTCAACTGAGCCGCTCTGGCAACTTTGGGAGCTGTAGGGAATAGCCCGTACAGCAGCCCTTCGGTTCTACTGAACTGAAGGGGTCCTGGGGCCGAAGGATCAGCCGAAGCTACGGCTAGATCCTTCGGCTGCTTCGTGAATAGACCCCATAATCTCACCTTATTCACTAAGCCAAGTGAAAAATCACTTTAAAAAGTGAACATTCCTTTAGTAAATCAACCCTACTATATTGCACATCCTTATTACATATATAAAAAAAAACATAACCAACGAATAAAGGTAAAAACTTTGTTAATTAATTTTGTGCTTCAAAAAATATTAATTAATTGCAACTAGAATGATTCTGATATCAAAAGGCACAAAACAGAGTAGGAGTCTTCACAAAGTGAATTGTGCTGTAAAACAAAAACTGTAATAAATTTTTAGAAAGTAGGTTGTAGGTTACTTACACTGACCTTACACAATCATTTATAATCGTATTAAAGTGTAAACCGCAAATCTGTTTTTCTTTATGTTTGGCATACCGTCTGAGTGTACAAAGTTGTCTTAAGCAAATAGTTTTTTTGTTATTTTGATAAAAAGTTTCTTACCTGGAGATATTACCAGTGATAGCAATTCCTGCTGGAAGCTAACACTAAGCCATTGCCTTGTTATTAACAATGGCACTGTCACCCTGCTATGCTCACTCCTTAAGTTGACTACCTATCTAATAGACCTGATAGTTAGCCCAACAGCCCACTGAAGGAGTGCAC